CATTCCTGTGGAGTTGGCTATTTGATAAAAAACATATACAGGAACACATTTTTTGAGACTTATGTGCTGAACAGTTTGAAATCCTTATGTTAATGAACAAACACAAAGATGAAACCATGTTCCTGCTCTCCCTATTGGTGTTAATTTTTAATCAATTTAATTAGTCTAATTTATTTCTACATGATCTCTTATTGACTGATGGTAAATGTAACAATGATGTCTCATAAGAGCAGCGTAGAAAATTTCCTTACCATGTAACAGTCTTCTACAATGAATTTTAAACATTTCAGAATTCTCTGTTTTAAACAGGCCTATTTATTCCCAGCAAAATCTCTGGTACAGGGACAGCCCCCCGAGATGTCTCTCAGGCGCCTTACCATGCACTTCAAGGAGCCTGGCTGCCTGAAGGAGGATGAACCCTTCAGCATTTGTCTCACAGGCTGCAGCATGTTCTGGGAAAACAACTGGTCATAAAGAAGGATGTACCAGTGAACAGACCCCTTGCTGTCTTGTGACTTCTTCAACAAGAAAGCTCTTTTTAAAAAGAAATACACTATTACTTAGCTATCAGGTAACCTCCTGGCTCAGGAGTCTGTGCCTGATATAAGAGAAGTGCAAAATGTCTGACACTTTCACAGACTCCCTTACTCCTTAGGGTCTCACACTGATATCTAAAATGGGTCAGGTTAGCAGGGACAGCATCTGCTGAAGTTTTTCATGTGGAGTCAAGGAAAGGATTCCCCATCTCAAGGAAACTCACATGTGCTAGAGCTTTTTGGTGATTAGAAACATCTTGCAGAAAAAAGGGAGAGATGATGCAGGTAAGAAGAGCCCTAAAGAGCAAAGCTCTAACCTGAGCAAGATAAATATGGCATGCTGATATGCTTGTCTCCCTCTCAATTAAAGGTGGAGACAATTGGAGATGCCTATATGGTAGTAGGTGGGGTCCCTGTGCCTGTACCCACTCATGCTGAGCGAGTTGCCAACTTTGCCTTGGGGATGATAATAGCAGCGAAAGGAGTAGAGAACCCAGTTTCTGGAAACCCTATCCAAGTAAGTTGTTAATGCAAAGGTGCACATGTTTCTGTCTGCTTCTTGGGTTGGGCTTCTCGTTAATGTCTCGGAGTGGGACATCAATGAGCTGCTTCTGACTCCTTTGTGACTTTGGGCAGGGCCCACATGGGTACATTTCTAATTAAGAACCTCTCCCTATGAATATTTGATGTTTTACTGGTGTCCAGTGTGGTGTTAGGATCAACTTTTAGGTGGCTGGATAGCATTAATAAAGATGTTAAATGACATTTTTTTGGGGTGTTTTATGTCTTTTTAAAGATTAGAGTTGGGATACATACAGGTCCTGTCTTGGCTGGAGTTGTTGGAGAAAAGATGCCTCGTTATTGCTTGTTTGGAGACACAGTGAATATAGCTTCCCGGATGGAGAGTCATGGTGTCCCAAGTAAAATTCATCTAAGCTCCAGTGCCTATCAGTGAGTAACTATGATGGGAACTTGGTCTGTTAAAAGCTGTGCTAAAACCCACTGCCTTGGCAGCTGCAGCTTCCAAGGTAGATGATGTCTTTAGTCACTGATTTATGCAGCATTCAGCATATCAAGAAAAATCACTGCATGCAAAGAGTTTCATTTGTCCTCATTATTTCAAAGCACTTGCATATGGAGACAGAGATTTGAGAGTCTTGATCCTAGAGACTGAAATACAGGAAAAAAATAATTGTGATAGCTTATTTGGAAGCACCAATAGAATGATGTAGATCATAGGAGGATGATCAGAACATTTAATTTGATATCCTGCATAGCAAAAGCTTTAAAATCTCTCTTATTGAACACAACAATTTTTGGTGAGGATTAACTGCAGAAACCATTATTGTATTAGTGCAGTGGGTAATTTACTCTCCTAAACTAATGCCTCCAAAGATAATGAGAGAGCTGGGTCATGGCAGTATGATGCTGCTGACTTTCATCTTTGGGAGGTCACGAAGATCAGCGTGGTAGCAACTGAAGAAATCCAGATGTTCCATCTACACTGGAAAACGAGAAGGAGGACAGGCTGGGGATCCATAGGCTTGTCAGCCTCATATCAGTCTCAATGAAAATCAGGTCGTCTTAAAAGCCACATTTAGACACATCGGGAATAACCAGCCTGGATTTAGCAGGAGTAAATAATGCTTGACAAATCAGATTGCCTTCTCTGATGAAATGATGGGAGATAGTTTTGTCTAACTGATAGGACTGCATCGGTTCTTAATTTCTATTTACTGGTCAATAAGAACTATCCATCATAGTGAAGTATTTGACTACATGATTCACTGATTTTTGATCAGCCTATATGTGTAAAGCTGTAAAAGCACAGCAGGCTTGAATAAACAATTGAAAAAAACCCCTCAGTTGTTCATGGATCACTACTGGTTTTCCCAGACTTCTGTGATTTGTTTACCTCATTGACAATAGCTCTTCTAAAATATCAGTGTTGTTTTTGCTAACCTGGAATTTTCACATATCATTTTGCTTCTGATATTTTAGATGCCTAAAATACAAGAATTTTGAGATGACTGAAAGAGGAGAAATAGAAGTAAAAGGCAAAGGGAAAATGCACACCTACTTCCTTGTTAGAAATAAAACTGCAACTGAGAATGAGATTATGGGAAGGCCAATGAAAGACCTAGATTCTGGCCATGAATCTGTTCAGTCCTTTCAAGAAGGCAGGACTGAAACAATACCAAGTTGTCACCAGCCAGGTAGAATCAACTCAAGATATCTTTCCCTCCTTGAACAAATGAACGTTAATGCAACTCAATTTAAGATCCTTTTCTGTTCTTTCAGCTACTCAGACTCAGCCAGAGAAGGACCAGACCCCAGCCATTGCAATGAAGTATATTGATGGCCCCACAGATTCACAAAACAGCCTCAAAAGAAGAAATCAAGCTAAAATTGCACACTTAACAGGTAGTTATTTAGTTACCATCAAGCAAAGACAAGATCTAGGAAGGACCTGAGGCTCAGTCTTCCTGCTTTATTGTATTCCTCTTCTGAATAACCATTGTATTACTCAAGCCAGAAGTTCATGCCAACATATCCATGTTGGTGAAACTAACCGTTCTGCACACTGGTCAGGGCCAAACAAATTCACTTGCAGAGGCAAAGCAACCCCAGCTGTTAACTTGCACCAGGGGAGAAAGAAGCAGACATGGCTGTGAATCCCAAAGTCCTTCTGGCGGTGCACACAGAATGGATAAATGTTAAGACAGTTCTTCCTATGGACAAACCCAATTGTTCAGGTCCAGATCTTTTCCTAGAAGAGCTGTCGTTATTTGTTATGGGGAAGCCCTTATCAACTCAGTCCTAGAAACAGAGACCTCCTGGGCTGTGCAACCTGGCAGTCCTCAAGCCAGCCTCCTGCAGGAATCAGAAGGGATTTATTGCCGTGCACATGTTCTGTGGCCACAGTTCATTCTCCTTTGAATCAGGTGATACTTAAAGAGAAATAATGGGTTTGCTGCCATAGCAGTCTAATCTCATGCAGCGAGTCCTGTAATTCTATTGACATGTTTTCTGGATTTTACACAGACTAAATATGTTGTCACTGATTACTAGAAAATACCTTCCTTACTCCCTTCCCTCCCACTGGCTTAGATGTGGTAGTTAATCTAGTACATGATGTGCTGACAAACAGAAACCTCCATAGTAATTAAAAACTCACACTAAAGGAGCGTTTCCTTTCAGGCAAAACTTATGATTCCAAGAGTGATGGGAGTCTCCATGGCAACCAGCATGCAGATGATGGTCCTGGTCCTCTAAACCGGGGAAGAGTCAAACCTGCTACTGAAGAGCCACAGATGAGAAATGTTCGCTCTAATTTTTGCACTTTACTCTAAGTTCCTTTGTCTTTACATCAAACAGAGCAATTTTATTATGATTTAGTGCATTTTGCTGTTGTGGGACTGATTTTGTATATCAAGCACCATATGATTTTGTTTAAAAAAAAAAAGGAAAACAAAGGATATTTCATCATGATCTTCTGCAAAAAGAAAACAACTGAGGGTTGTTTGTTTTTAAAAATCAATCTACACATGGCGTATAATACTCTCACTGGAGAAAGAAACCTTTGCAAGATGCTTGGAAGATGTATTTTTCAGCCTTTGGTGTCTCGAATATCCCTATGTAAAAATCACTTCTTGGTATCTCATGCAGCAATTGGGAAAGGGTGACTCATCCAGCTAGAAATATTCCTAGTTAAGTAAGCATTTGCCATAAAAGAAACATTTCCCAGAGTGACCATCTGTCTGGACTTGAGCACAGCCAGCAACTACCCTGTGTAAGGTTAGCAGAGTTTGATCTACATTTTAACAGTGCTGACAGTTTGATCTCTTAACAGGCCTTTCACTGAGTAAAGGCATTATGCAGTAGAGGGGCAGCATACATCTAATACAATGTGAATTTTTCCATCCCGAGGAGACAATATTGCATAATTTATAGCACACAAGAGTGAAAAACCCATCTGCAACCTCTGAATCAGCTGTCCATGCTGTGCTCAGTAGATCACAGAAGGACATGCACGTAGTGGAATTTTGTAGCATCCAATTCATCACACTGATGGCTTGTTCAAGGCCTGTGAACTATTTGAGACCTTCAGAAGAGTTGCAAGTGTATTTCTCATTTTCTCACCTGAGCTAAACAAAACTCAAGTTTCAGAACTACAGAGGGAGTCTGTCAGTGCTGAAATTAATGTTAACATAATTGAAAATAACAGTGTTAAATATCAACATCACTTACCTGATGTCAGAGGCTCCTCCACAGAATTACTTCCATGCTGATAAATTCCTAGATTATGCCTCATTGGAAATCACAGAAAAATACTGAAGTTCAGCTGTCGGGGAATTAAGATGTAGGAGCAAAAGTACAATGGATATAAAGGTTGTAGACAATCTTGCACATGATAAATTGCCCTCTCTTGTAGATGGAGCTAGGAGTAGGTGGAATGTGTTTGTACCTGGGGACTTTATAGCAGATGTGCCCCACACACTGATTTATTACCTTTGGGCATGGATTCATTGTCTAAGGATGCAAGCATGAGGCCCATTTGAACTTTGAGCAAGAACTCATTGGAGAAGATGATAATGTTACTCCTGTGCTACAGCCTGGAGCATCACATTTCCACGTCTGCTGCAAAAGTGAGGCTTGTTAAACATCAGAGAGGTAAGACTGAGGAAGACAGGCATCTCCTTCTCTCAATAGTATAACAAGATGAAATTTCACTTGCTTATGTTTTCTTGTTAAATATCTACAACTCTCTCTACATTTGTAGGTGGTGCAGACCAGAGAGAAAGTTGTGTAGACTGAAACTGTCAGTGCTGCTGTCCACGCCACAGGTATCTCAGAGGGCTTGCTGGTGTAGTCCCATGCACTGAATACCTGTTAGCTTTTGGAGTGCTGTTATCAGCACATCCTCTGACTCAGTTTCATCCAGAAGAGATCCATTTGTGTGCTTTGAGATCACTCTACAATGTGAAACAAAGTATGGTAAGTGGTTTTGACCAGGATACTCACTGAGGAGGGTGCTGGTGGCTCTGCCTGCTATGCTGATGTAGATGCACTGGGTGACTGTAGCACTGTCCACAGCACAGCTGAGCAGCACCACTCTGGGAGAGGGAGGTTCCATAAACGGCAGGGTTTATTTATTCACTTGTAAGGATCTTGCTGTCTTGGCACCGTTTGAGATTTTGGTTAGGGTAGGTTTCTAAGGATTATTATTGTTAAGTTGGGTATCTATTTTAAACATTTGAACTCTGTCAGACACACAATGTCTAAATTTCACCTTTAGCCTTCATAACTGCTCATGGCACCGTAGCTTTAAAAAGACTTTCCTAAAGGAAGATAATACCCCATTTCCCTCTCACTTACAGTGATTTAAATGTGAAGTAACAGCTGAATTGGCACCATCCCACTGACTTAAGACAAGAATCAACTCTGACAAGACTTTTTTGCCTCCAACCTAGAGACATTTCACTACTCTTGACTAGTCATGCTGATGGGATGGAGAACTGGTCATTTAACAAATGGCAGTGGTGGACTCTGTCAGCATTCACGATGGAGATAGAGAGACACTTAACCCCAAGCACAAGTGTGACCAGGAGTGTACATCTCTTGGTAGTCAATGCTAATTTGGTAGTCAATGCTAATGCAGAACTGAACCTCCTGCGTGGCTGGATACCACTGACCACCTCTCTGAAAGGAAGAATTTCCAACTGGAAATAGTCCATCAAGCCTGGTGATCAGTGGATAGGATTTAGTATATATTCCAGGGTTTAATATAGATTCCAGAGTGGTTTTAGATAGAAGCCCAGAGCTCCTCAGAACTTTTATGGATCCTCTTGGGAAGAAGAAAGAGAAAGACCATGGCTTAATTGCCTGCATTTCTCCGTCCAAATTATAACACTTGCTTTGCTTATACCCTTTTGCACTGAACAATCTATGAATGTTTAATATTGGAGTGTTTTAATTGCCAGTAAGTGCTCCATGATAATTCACTTCATGCTGTACTGTGGTAAAGCTGATGTGCTCAGTGATTTCTCTGTGGCCTCTGCTACAATCTGATTTTCCTGAAGATGCAGAACTAGGTCAAGTCTGCACAACTGCTTTTAAAAATTAATGTGTCTGTGCATCATCATGTGTTCTTAAATATGTGGGCACTGCAAAAGGCTGCAAACATATCACTCAAAAATATATCTTTCCATTGATATACTGACTGCAATTTATAATTGACTACTTTGATTAATTTCCCTCTTTTTCCTTCCACTTTTTTCCCCTGTAAGTATACAGAAGTTTGAGGCTGTTATAGCTCTAATAAATATCCAGTGAGTTTAATACTGTGACCATGCACAAAGTTCTATGTATTTATGTGACATCAGAATCAGCAGCCCAGTACAACTGACATTGTCATATGCTTACTAAGATCATAGAATCCTAGGGGTTGGGAGGGACCTTGAAAGATCATCTAGTCCAACCCCCCTGCCAGAGCAGGGTCACCCAGAGCACATCACACAGGAACATGTCCAGGCAGGTTTTGAATGTCTCCAGTGAAGGAGACTCCACAACCTCTCTGGGCAGCCTGTTCCAGTGCTCTGTCCAGATGCAGTCACGTAGATGATACATATGTCATAATACGTCAGTGACCTATCTATGTTGAATTGACATGAAAAGGGTGGGAGAAGGGAATTCCCACTGCTGCTTCCTGGAAGCTGAAGCTTTGAAAACTTAAAAGTGGAGACTTTTGAAAGCTGTCTAAAGGATATGGCTTCCCGCATCCCATTAGATCTGTTGTTTCAGCATGAATTGTCAAAAGCTTGGGAACCTTACAGGTCTGGGGCCAGGTTTTCAGACTTTTGTTGTTACTTTGCTAAGTAAAATCAACTGAATTGAACTACTCCACTGAACACGTATGCAGTGTCTAATTTCTGACAATGAAGCTTTAAAACATTTTAAAAGCACTTCCCTGTAAATACCTTCTAAAACAAGCTGTTCAGTAAACTTTGCAAACTGTAACCTCATTTGCTGGAAGTCATGGATTCATTACTTCTGACCTTACAATGCAGCTCTGTATGGACCCAAGCTGAACAGCAGTGAAATTGAAAAATAAAACAGCAGTGAAATTGAAATTATTGCTTCATTGGTGACAATATATTACAAATGTACGCAAATATACAAAACAAGATTAATTTCAAAATGAAAAAAGGAGCACAGCTTTTTTTATGCAAATATACAACATCACAGAAAAATCCAGAAGGGATTTTTTTCCACCAGGTCACTGCTTTCACTTTTGAAAGCTCAAGACTTTAAGAGTAGGCAATGAGATGAAAACCTTCTTTTAAGTTACCAGTACAATAATCTACTGTTCATGCATTCTCTGTACAATATTCAGTCATCAGTGCTGCCAGTACCTAAAGAAACAGCAATGTGCATTGTTTTGGTTCCATAAATACTTGCAGTCAAACTAAACGTGTGGGACACTATCTTTACTTGTATGACTAGAACTAGCAAGCACTCCTCATTTTTTACAAGCTGTTTGTAGTTCTCTCTCACATTTATTTTGCACCTGGTTGTTGAATTTCTGTGAATGGTTTTTGATCCGAGCTGTGCTGGGAAGCCATTCCTGAAAAATTCAGATAGTCACATTTCTTCCTGTTTTGCCTTGGTGTACAGCCTTTAGTCTCTGGCTGAGTGACCACAACAAGTCAGAAACAGGTTTGTACTCACATGATTAGTACTTGCGCTCCCTTAGAGTTGAACCACAAGTGGACATCAACAGTCATCGCCAAACTTTGCAGAAATTCAGAGTAATGTTAACTGACCCTGTAACATCTTTTTAACTTTGCCAAATTAGTACTGTAAAGTTTTATAAAGTTTTACACAGAGAGAAAAACCTCACAGGCTCTTTCATAGCTCTTAACATTTGCACAGAATACCCTTCTGGCAAGGTATTTATCAAGGCAATCAGTAAACACAAGAGCAGAGACATGATTTCTACTTTTGGTGACAAACGCATCAAAACCAGCTTCAACTCCCTGTTCACAGCAGTCCTTAGGGTGAGGGATCCTTGAAACGTGCAGCAGCTGCTTTGTGGTGGTACCTTTGTTATCGTGTACCTTCATCGCGGTGTATAAACTTCCAGCCAGCTTTGTTGGGGCTTCCATTTCCATGCTAAACATCAGGCCAGTGACCCGAGACACAGGCTGGGTGATTCTCTGCAGGCATCTTGCCAAAGTGTTTTGCAGGAAAGGAATCTGACACACAGCTATTATTTAAGGCCAATTTATCACCAGAATGAATGGGCCTTTAAAAATTCACCAGCTCACATATCCTTTTCAGCAATGGTGGT